GAAAATTGGTTTATTAAAAAAGATTACATCGTCCCTTGATCGGATCACATTTATTGTAGTCTCTCGTGCAACTCAATGGCCTCATATTTAAATGTTGTATCAGCTTTTCAGAACCGTAATTATTGGTCTGGTAATTACAAGATGCCATGGAAAAATTCTATTGATGCAGAAGTTACAGCTCTTTTGAAATAAAATTCAAATGTTCCTGTCGAATTTCATACTTGAAAGTCACAATCAGAAATAATGGTAGGATAAATCAAATATAAGGCATAAATCTCGGGTATGGATTTAATAAAAGGTGAACTATTGGATAATCTTTATCAATCTTTGTTAGATATAATAAAACAGAGGTCATTTACATTTTGGTAACATGCTTTATTTTTATTAATTAGGATAAGTGCGATTTTTCCTAACCCAACTTCTATATCGATATTCCGATGCCAATTCGCATATGAATTAGGCGAATATAATTTTTCAGCTGGTAAAATGAAATCTGTCGAATGTTTATGTAAATGTAGACTTTAAATATATTGAAGAATAAGTGCGTTAGTGATTATTGGTTTTTATTATATTATTATTAATCAAATATTTTTCATAACATCAATTGAAGCGATGTAAATGAAATCGAGAAAAATTAATCAGAACTCGGTTGGATACATATTTTCATAGATGAACAAATCATCACTTTATACAATTTGAACAAGTCTATGAGGGCATTTTCTTAGTGATGCTTATTAAATTTTCCAAGGATTCGAAACAATTTTAGCGTTCATAAAAGTCAAGAGAAATCTACTATCAAAATTTTCATATGTAGATTCATCTTCAGGTAAGCTATTAAAACATCTACGAATATTTATTTTTGTTCAAATACGAAATATTTAACTTCGTATACTCCATGTTTAGAGGAGATGATAAATTCAATGCTTAATCATAATTTTGATGAAAGTATTATTGAAGAGATGGCTAGATAATATTATATGGTAACTTTTCTGAGTGTGTCAGAAAATTTCTTTTCTAGCTTTTTTCAAAATATCGACAAGTAAAAGTTTGAGGTATTTTTAATTATATATTATATTCAATCGGTTAGAATTTGTTTTTGACTTTTTTTATTTAATTCATAGGTTTCGAATTTGTTCATTATCAACTTGAACAATTCTTTTATGAAATCGTACATTTAATTTAGAGTTAAGTGAAGATATTAATAAGTTTGACGATGACCTAGAGTCAAATGTAAACATATTATCGTAATTAAATATTGGTAATCAAAAAAAAAAGATTTTACTCAAGCCTGTTAAAGTCTTACAGCTAGTGAGAAAAAGCAGAAAGTAATGTCTGAGGTTGAAGGTTAGTCGCGTTTTAGTTTTTATTATTTAATCAATTAATAGATTTTTAATATACAATAATCTTTTAGCAATTAAGTTGTACGGTTAATTAACAATCATAATGAATCCAGTTGATTTTATAGTATGACCAGATATACGAAAATTCAATAATATTTTGTCATAATTATGAATTTGTTGAAATCAACAATATTTATATTTAAAGATCTCGCGTGTTGTAAGAAGTTTTGAATGGAAAGATTCAACCGATTAGGTTTGGTTTGTCATATGCATTAATGCAAGTTTGCTTTGAATCGAACTTTGGCTGATATATGTCATTTGCAAATAAATACCTTAGGTGAATTTTTATTTATGATTGGTTAAATTTGCTAGAATTATATTTTTAGGATAATTAAGTATATTCTATATATTAATAGAACCATCATGAACGCACTTATTGAATAGTAAAGGAAAAGTAAAGAAAAAATCTGGCATTCGCTATTCACAAAATGATTCTGTTGACTATCTAAAAAAGGTAAACCGTATTTTTTTTAAAAAAAATTTAATTTCTTCAGAGATTGGAATTGCTGCTTATTCATAGGTTGCTTCTTTGAAAAGAATTTTAATCAGGTTCGATTTTCTTCCTGGTATTGCATCAAGTAATGTCACTTGCAAGATTGATGAATGATAATTGGAGGTAAATTTATTTGTATTTTAACGATGTCGCTTAATTGAAGGTATTTTATATGTGGAGGAAGAAAGTAAACTAAAAATCAAAAATGTTTGCGAGTAGGCAAATTTAATGAGATTGAACAGTTTATACTTCCAAACATAATATTTGAGTAGCAATTATCCAGTTTTGGAACTGTAAAGGCCTTTCCAAGCGAATGCGAATGTTCAAGCTTGTTGAAAAGGGAGGTCGGTTGAGAAGTCGATATTTTATTGCTCTCTCTCTCCTTTTGGTCGCTTTTGAAGAGGGGAATTGTTCTCTTTCAATTATTGGCAATAAATGGTATGTGGAAAATCCTTTATTCAATTATCCCAGATGGATTAGTAAATAGGATTGTTACGGGACAAAGTTAGGGACAGTTGGGACGAAGCGGGAAACAATATTATTAATCTTCACGTTATAAAATATTTATCCCTTTTATAAAGTTATAGGATAAAAAAATCAGTAACGTTTAATGGTACCGGGACCTTTACTTATTGCTTATTTGATGTCCCGCCCAAAACCAAATGACACCTATGCATTAAAGTTAGAAATTTTATATACCTGCGCTGTATAGAATATGCATTTATAGAAAAATATATAATGTGTTTATATAGGGAGAATGTATTTAGAAAATCTCGCTGTATATTTTATTAAAATAATTATGTGTATATATATTTATATTTTATTCAAATAAAGATATAATTATGTATATATAATTTTTTTTTATCCAAATAAAGATATAAGTATATTAAAATAAATAAAAAATGTGTTCTTTTTTAATAAAATTTATAAAAGAAATATGTTAGTAACAGATTAATTCACATCCTCTTTAAATGCATATTTTGTTAAATTTTCACTATGGTCCCAAGGATGTATGCATTTAGAGAGGTCTCATGATATAAAAATAATAATAACTATTTTTATTTTATTTTATTAATACTTATAATTATTCAAATATATATTATATTTTAATTAAAAATACTTTACTAACATTTTTTACTAAATTTTAATCTTAAATAAACTTAAAATTATGAAAGTATATAAAGTATGTTTATAAAAAGAATGATTGCTTTTATTAAAATATGATATTATTAAAAAAAAGTTAATCATTTTTAATAATAGTATTTATACTTTTTCATATCTTTATATTTTATTAAATGTTTAACAAAAATAAATTATTTAAGACCAAAAAAATTAGAATTATTTTAGATATATTGAATGTTTATTAGAAAAATAGAGCTCTAAAAAGTTTTTAATAAAATTTTAATTATTATTGCATTTTAATCTAATATTATAAAAATTTAATAGATAATATATAATTAAATACAATTTTATCCAATTCATCAAATCATTCAAAATTACTTAGATTTATAATCTAATAATAATAGCTTAAATAAACTGCTATTATAATATATAAAATAAACTATTATTATCAGTTAACCAATATCCTAAATATTAGGTAACTATTTATTTAATAATATAATATTCATTATATACTTATCAGTAGTAATACCTGACAAAATTACTTTTCTTAATATGATAAAATTAATGAAACTGAAATGATAAAACTAGTTTTTTATTAATAACAAAACTATTTTACTTAATTGCCAAAATTAAATTTAACTTCATTTAAATTTCTTGAATTAAAATACATTAAAAAATATAATAATTTTATATTTATTTATATAAAAATATTAAAGAGACAAATCCTTTTGATGAAATTACAATTTTTCAAAAAAAAATCTAAGTAGGTATTATTATAATATATTATAAATATTATTTTTATCTACTTTACAAGTTTACTTTAAATAATATAAAAAATTTTAAATGCTATCTTTATATATTTGTATTTTTTATAAATAATTAAAATTTGTTTAATTTAATTTAGTTAAACTTTTGATATTTAAAATTTATTTATCTTAAAATTAGATTAAAATAAATATTAAATAATTAAAAATTCTAAAAGTAGATTTGTTTATAAAATTTCTAATTTCAAAATATTTTTAAAATATATTATAGATACTCTTTATAATCAGAAATTAAAAAAAATTATCTAAATTTTCTAATTTATAATAATATAAAATATTTATTATTCTATTTGATCATAAATAGCTTATCTATTATTTCTAAAAAAATTTAATTATAATAAAATTAACAAATCCTTTATATGATTTTCTATTTTATAGGAGTATTAAACAATCCTAAACAATTCTATAAATTTGCAATTCTAGAGAAGATTTTTATTTTACTAGCATTATATTTTACTTTCTAATGATAATTTATTAATTTAATATTTATTAAAAATATATATTAAGCTTATGCAAAATCCAGAATCTTAATTTTTGAAACTTAGGATCCAATCCTAAGAATCAGATCCTACCTTGGCAGTCTCATATTAATTGTCGATTCCATAGTTTTTATTTATTTTATAAGTTATTCATAAAATTTATTATTACAATAATATATTAATAGTTACTTATTATAGATAAGCAATTAGACTTTTCTATAACTCGTAATTTCAATATTTGTTTACAGTTATTTGAGATTTAACAATCCTCTATTTTAGATATTTAGTAAAATTCTTTTAAAATTTTTTATATTTACTAAATAATGATTTTAAATTATTAAATATATAGTTTTTAATTTAACAAACTTGATATTGTTAATTTTAGTATAAAAAATATGACTATATTTAAGAAAATAATTTTTTAAAAATCCAACATTTTTTACAGATTGTTAGTTAAAGATTTTATATTTTAAAATACTAATAATATTAAATATAATATATCAAACTATATATATAATAATTAGATTTATTGAATTATTTATTAATTAGTTTAAAGGAGAATAATATTATATATTTTAATAAATTTAAAAAATAAAATTAGGGAATTAATAATTAGATTGTTTGATGAAAGATTCTAAATAATGTAATAAGAAAGTTTCTTAAGGTATCACAACTATACTTGACATGGTAATTATCTTAATTAAGTATATGCATAATACATAATTATAGTAATTAATTATCATTTTTTTTAAAATAATATAATTGCAAAATTAATTATAGGAATAGTAACTAATTACGTGAGACGTAATTATTACAGGGATGTTAATTAATACTTATAGACATAATTAATTACAGGAATGGTAATTAATTTTGT